ACCCAGCCCGCTCCTGGTGAGTCCGGCGGGGCTCTCGTGGGCCCTTGGCGCGCCGCTCCGCTCCGCTGCCCGGGCGGGGGACTCCAAATCCCATCACCCCCTAGGCAGGGACCCCCTAAGGGTAGCTGCCGCGGCCCTTTGCGCCCCTCTGTGTGTGGAGGCACCGTGAGAGGCTTCGTCCCGCTTGGGGGCTCCTGGGGCAGGCGGGGGTCGAGGGGTTCCCCCCTTACCTTTGGAAGCCAGAAGCGGAGCTGCCCCGAGAATGAGCCTCTCGCTTCGGGGGTTGGAGAGATGGGAAGCAAAAGAGGGGTGCAGGTTGTCCGGTGAGGAGAATCCCAACAGCCCCCCGGGACTGGAAAAAAAGGGCCCTCCAGAGTGGCAAAGGTCTGGCCAGTGGGCCTCCTAGCGCTTTGAAGGGGAAGATCCATGCAAAGAATCCTGGAGTCTCTTGTTGAGATTTCTAAGAAACCCAAAAGATGCTGCTTCTGCAGCAGATGTTCCAGTTGGCCTCCTTCAGGCTCATCTCCGCCAGGCTCAGCTGCCTTTACGCTGAACTCCTGATGGAGTAAGCAGTAACCGCTGTGGCCTTTCCGCAATAGGAGTGAGTGGCTTGGGCTGGGATGTTGCTGAGAAGGAGGGATGTTTCACCAAGTCTCAGATAAAGAAAATCTCCTTGGTTTGTGGTGGAGAAGTGAATTGATCGTCCTCTTTGCTTGCAAACAGGCCAACTTAAAGGCTGACTGCTTAAATAAGCCGTTCATCCAGTTCTGCCATGAACTTGTGACCGTCATTGAACAGTTTCGAGCTAAGGTAGGAAGCTTCGGTGCTTGTTCTGTGGTAGTTGTTTCCTCACTTCTCTTTCAAAAGTAAGTGTGCTGTGATGGAGATCAAGGTGCTCTCACTTGCGCTTGGGCTAAGGCAGGTGGTGGTGCTCAGCCCTGTCCAGCAGTTGCTTGTGTGAGCATGGACATGCAAGGGCTCCACGAAAGCTCTTGGACACTCAGGCACCCCAACAAGCTGCATGGAGGCACAGCATTCAGCTCTGAGGTGGCTAACAGGATACACAAATGCAGAGACAAAAACATTTGCCTTTCTGTGGTCTTTGGTTGAGACAATGTCAGGTGTGTGTGTTTCCCCCAGTTTGGCCCTGCATCGTACTTTTTGCTTCTTTTCCTCAAAGGAGCTGCATTCCATCTTTTCCTGGCTAGTAGAAAGCATCTTTGGCAGCCTGGATGGTGTGCTTGTAGGCTGGAACCTCCGTTGTTTACAAGGGAGAATAAACCTGTCCGACTACAATATGGTGCTTGACTTCCTGGATCCTGGGTGAGCTTGTTCAGCCTGGGAGGCACAGAGCCTGGATACCCTGCTTCCCTGAAATGGGACCCCCAAGCCTACCCGAGAAGGAGGGGCTGACTCACTGTTTCTCCCTTTTGCTGCCTTCCTGCAGAGGTCCCATGATGAGGTTGGTGTACAAGCTTCAAGCTGAGGAGTACAGATATGACTTCCCGGTCTCCTACCTTCCTGTGAGTATCGAGGAAAAGAGGTCTCCACCACAGCTGCCAGAAAGATCCCAAAGCGGCACATGGGCACATTCAGTGTCCCGTGCTCAAGATGCAGTTGGGCAGTCTCGCGTGGTTAAAGCTTTATATGGTTAAAGCTTGATTCTTAACCTCATGTGACATTTCTTGAGGTGGCTGTTCCTGCCCTCAGACTTGTTTGGGTTGTTTTATCCACTGGCTCCCTGTGTGTCCACCTGTAGGACAGGCCCCCGGATAACTCCCAGGCAGGCAGGCAGGCAGGCTCTTTGTTTGTCAGTGAGCATTCCGGCTCTGAACAGGGATGTGCGAGGGCAGGTCACAAGGGGAGGCCACCTGTTTGCCATTCAGGCGAAGCCTCCTGCTTCTCTCAAACCCCAGCTCAAATGTGAGAGTGGCCACATGTGAACTGACCGCTCAAAGACCCTTTAAACCCACAAGGGCTTGGCTGCCTTCATATTTAAGAGACCCCTCTGAGATGCTTGGTGTGAGTTAAAAGGGAGGCAAAAGAGCCCTCTCCAGCCACCACCACCACTGCCACCAATAAGGGGTGATGTAGAACCACAGACAACTACCGTCCCCTGCAGTCTGCCCAGAAATGGCCACTCGACTGCTCTCCTCCTCAGTTAGCCTTTATTTTCTGCATCGGGTCCAGGGGCAAAGGCTGCACGGTGGAGGAAGAGGCCAGGCAGTTCAAAGTCTCAACGGTGAGTGCCACTCTGGTATGGGGGAAAACATTTTTCGGTTTCAAGGCAGACGTTAGGTTTCACCTTAGAGTCCCGTTACTCGGCTGTTGTGCAGCACTCCGAGAGATGCCTTTGTATAACTTGATGGGTGCTTCTGTCTTCACTGATGTCTTTCTGCACATCGTAATACATCCTTTTCTTTTGTTCTAGGGTCCAGCAAAAGCCTCAATACAAGAGCGGATTTTGCCAGAATGTTCCTTATACCACAACAAAGTGCAATTCCTTCCTTCTGGAGGGCCGAGTTCCCATCTGTCCCTCAGTATCCTTGGAAAGAGTTTCTTATTTCTTGTTTGAAAACCATGATATAGCTTTCATGGTGAAGGGCGTTCGGTGCTTGAGTCCTGATCAAACTGGGCATTTGGTGGAGCCCTGAGGCCAGGGAACCAGGGAGAGAGGCTGCCCGCCTGCCTGCCTGCAGGAGAGCCCAGTCAGATGGAGCCCTGAGGCCAGGGAACCAGGGAGGGAGGCTGCCCGCCTGCCTGCCTGCCTGCAGGAGAGCCCAGTCAGGAAGGCGTGCATGGAACCAAATGGTCTACCTTCCTCCACATGCCTGGGAAGGGGCCAGCTCCCATGGCAGTCTTTGCATGCCTTTCCAGTAAAGCCTTCGTGAAATCAGTTTTGTCTAACAACACCAGTCTGATTTGCACCGCAAGGAGAAAAGAATGACATGCCAACCTGCCTAAGCTTTTGGGTGGCCGAGAGCTGTCTCTGACATCCCTTCCTGTCTCCCAGCGGCCTTTGCCCTTAACGCTGTACTGTCAGATCCGTATGAATATTACATGTTCTACTTTGCATTGAGCCTGCTTACGCAGAGGGTGAGTACAGGAGAGCTTCCTTCCTTCTCCTGGGGCCTGAACTAAATGTAAGAGGAAAAGAAGCTGCAGATCTCTGTGGCTCTTGGCAGGCCATGCTGGCCTCCCGCTTCGCTGCTCTCTTTGGTGAAATGTTAACCTAAAGACCCTGTTGAGCCCCTGGCTCAACACCCTTTGCCTTCTTTCTATGAAAAGAGTCTTCTGCCTAACAAAAGAATGAAGAGGAGGGTTCCTGAAGCTGTTCTGATGTGCAGAAAATGTTGGGGTGTGGGGGGGAATTGACCACCCCCGAATGTCCCCATGGCTCTCTATTGGAGGGAGGGCTGTGAGAATGCTCTTCTTTCGGAGCTGAGTGCGTGTCATCCGTCTCCCAGCCTTATGTGTTTGTCCTCTAGAGTGCCCACTTGGCCGGCCACTTCAGTACATCCAACAGTGCCTACTTTATCCTGGTAGATCGGTACTTGAAGTGGTTCCTGCCCACCGAAGGAAGCGTCCTCCCACCCCCTTCCTTTGATTTTGGAGGGGTCGTCCCATCACCCGCTCCCCGGTGAGTCCTGCCTTGTCTGTTCCAGGCTGCCGGATTCTGGGGCCATGTCCCTTGGGGGGGGCATCTTGTGGGTTTCAGGTTCAGGGGCCTCTCCTGGCTGACCTGGCTGGCAATGGCAGCCATCCCGGAATCATTGTGGAGCTCTGTCTGCTGTGAGGAGGGTGTTGGGAAGCCGGTCTTGAGAAGAAGCCTGCAAGGAGCTGGTCTACCTTGAAAAATAATAGCAACGATGCTTCCCTTGGGATTCAGTTTTTGAGTGAGTCTGTGTGAAGCCTCCCGCAGCTGGGTGGCCACCTTATAGCTGCTGTGCACAAGGGCCCCTCTTCACAGATCCAGTCTCCCTGCGGCCTGGGCTTTTGGGGCTCCCTCCCATTTTTTGGCAGTCCTCTCCTTTCCTTTAATGGGCTTTGCATCTCCTCCTTTCCTCAAGATCGCCAGCGATGCCTTTCACCTCCTACGGAATGCATCCCACCAGCCTGCTGAAGAGGCACGTGGCTCACCAGACGTCCGTGAACGCAGACCCTACCTCCCAGGAGATCTGGCGATCAGAGACCTTGGTTCTGGTGCGTCCCTGACCCAGCTCCAATACCGCAGCCCCGTGGCCCAGACTTGCAACTGGGTGCAGAATACAGCCTCCCACTGGCTGGATTTGCTTCTGTGGGAATTCAGTTCCCGAACAAGAAGTGCTTTTAAAGCCCACCTGGGCCCGTAGAGCAAATGCACAGCATCCCATGGCTTTGTCTTCTGGTGGGGAGCGCATGAAAGAACCTCAAGGGGTTGGTGGTCTTGTGAGGCTGGATCATCAAGGGCCATTTCTGGCTTTTCTGCATGCTGCTTCTTCCCTGGGCCAGATCCTGTAAGAAACAAAATGTAGCCACACGCAAGCGGGCACAGCGAGCACCATTTCTGTCCTCACACACACACACACCATGCTTCTTGGCTTGCTGCCTGTGACTTGTTGCTGTGTCTGACTGGGACCTGAAAAGTGTCCCTGGATTAATAGCTTCAGCACAAGAGCAGAGGTTGCAGTAAAGCTGGGGAGGGGGGGTTGGAGCTGTTGTGGGCCATCCCCTGCCTAAGAACGAGAAGCCCCTGAGCCCTCTTGGAGGTCAGCAGCTGCCTGGTGGTTGTTTCCTCAGCAGAAAGGCTTTGGGGAAAAGCCAGGAAGCCTCCCCCCCTTACTGTGCGACAGCAGTTGGAAGGCCAAGTCTTGGGGCTCCTTGCAGTCCACCTGGGCGTGATGAGGGTCTGTGGGTTGTGATCCTGCTTCTCCGGAGTTCAGCTGGTTTCTTGGTTCCCTCTTGCCAGCTGTCGGACCTCTTGCTTCCTCCTTCCTAGGTCTTTGTGGAAATGTGGCTCCATCATTACTCCCGGGACATGTACCAGAAAATGCAGTCGCCTCACATCAAGGTAAGGGAGTTTGCCAGCCTCCTTGCTGGGCCGTTTTCTGCTGCTGGCTGTCGTCCCTGCATCGGAGCCACTTGAGAAGCGCTGCTCCTGGACTGAGCGGGGAGTGGCTTCCTTCTGGGTGAGAAGGAGCGACCCCGAAGAGGAGGGCCTCTGGGCACTCAAGGGGCCACGAGCTTTGCCTCTTTGGTGGTCCTCTGAGCCGTGAAGAGATTGTGCAGAACCTCTCGGCTTGCCTCTTTGCTGGCACCCAGAACGCTGGACAGCAGCGTTGCCTCCCATTGCTTAAGAATCGTCGTCATCCCATGCACCTGGGCTTGACCTCCAAAGGGAGGGCAGAGGACTTTTGGTGACCCTTTCCATTGTTGTCTCGCCAGAGGCACAATTTAGCCCCTGGGCTTGACCTCCAAAGGGAGGGCAGAGGTTGGTGGTGGTGCCGGGGAAGCCTTGGCTGGCCGTTGCCAGAGGCGGCTCTCTGTTAGGTCAGGAGGGGCTCCTCTCCCACCCACCACCCACCCACCCACCCCCAAGACTGCCAAATGCCACAGAAGCTCAGGCCACTCTTGACTTTCAGCCACATAGTGCGGAAAATGTTTCCTCTGCCCGGTGTGTGTGTGTGTGTGTGTGTGTGTTCTGTTTTGTCGTTCTCTCCCGGGGTGCTGGGGTGGGGG